GTAAATATATTTTTTCAAAGTTTTTGTAACTTTCTACTGAAGAGGGGGCAGTAGTCNAATATTATTGTAAATTTTTATAATAAGATGGTCAATACTACAATCAGTCATTCTGGTTCTTATTTTAATAATGAAAAGTCCTGCTACCGAGCATGCCCTTTCCGATTTAATTGATGTTAGTGGAATCGTCTTTAATGCATTTAAGAGAAGACAGATGTTATATGCTTTTTTCACTTGTAGCTTGGAAGATTTCGAGTTCGTTTTCGAGAGTGTAGTACTTCTTTTGCTGTCTAGTATTCTTGATTTGTCTACATCGGCTGCTTTAATAGCGGCATCAAGCTGATAGCCCGATAATTCGGCAATTCGTTTGGTTTTAATAATCAGGTTTATGAAGAAAAACTTCATACTTGCAGACATCGTACTCGTTTGAATCCTTGCCCAATTTGCACAACCTGGCGTTAAGCAGTTATCGAATCTACCGGGCATGGTTAAAAATTAAGACAGCATAAGCACAATTGTCCCAGATATTACAAGTTCCGACAAGTAAAGAATTTTCAGAGTCCTGCCACAAATAAGCTACGTGCTGATTATTGACCATTTCTGACGTGCCATAACGAACAAAATTTAAAAAAAAACTAATAATTAGGTTTAAAATTAATAAATACAAATGTTTTCTGACAGTTTGTGAGTTAATTATAATTTCTATTTGCAAAATTTCCTCAACCTTAACACAAAATAAGAAAAAAGTGAATTTTTAAGAAATTTGCGGGATTTCTCGGGATGAGAATAATTTCCTGGGGTTGAAAAAAACAATCGGGATCACGGGATCTCGTTTGAGAAACGCTAATTAATAATAATAATATATTCTGGTATTTTTGAAATCGTGCCAGTAATTTTTAGANTATGAGTGATATAAAACTTGCATCATCTCCAATAATAAACTATATAAAATGTTTTTTCATTCTGTTACGAAGTGTATCAAATAATGATGGTGATTAAAATTTCCACCAACTCAATGATAATACCAGAACAATAAATAATCAGTTTTCTTTTATTTATCTACATTAAAGACATTTTTTTTCAGAACTGGAGATTTACATTTTATTTTTGATTTAAAGGTTAATAAAATACTTTAAATCAATAGGAAGAAGAGGTTACCACTGCATTATTTTCTTTCTTTTTGTAACAGAATTAAATTTTACTGTATTCATCAATATATTTTGAACTTTTAAAGCTGTTGTATACTATATAGATTCAGTTATTTGTTTCCTCTTGGAACACAATCTATTTCATTTGATTTATAACATTTTCATTCATATTTTTATCCAATTATATTTTTTCAGTGTCCTATTCATTCATTTCATTTTTAGCAGATTACTCATACCTACCACAATCTCATTGTCAGTGAAGACTTGAAACCACTTTTTATTTGCATCATTTCACTAACAAGTTATAAGCATCATCACTCTTCAAATCCAGGAATTGATTGAAACATGTAGGTAAATCACTAACTTCTTCATTCTGAACAATTTCTTCTAGGTTTTCCAAATTTGAACAGACTTTATTCTATCCCTTTTTCAGATTGTCAGTTGTCAATAGTTTATAAGCTTTAACTAATATGTAGCTGCAGGGCCCCTTAGATTAAACTTTTTAGAAAAAGCAACAACACTACCTTTGTTCTGTCAAGAGTAAACAGAATTTGTTTCCTGTACATCTGCTTCTTGATCCATGAGTTGAGCTAACTCTGTGGTTCAAATAATTAATTAATATTTAATGAAAATTATCTTACTTGCTACTATTAAAACGAAAATAAAATATTTTCTAAGGAGTAACATTTAAACTTTAAATAGAATCATCTGAATAACAGGATTCAAATCTTATTATGCAGAATTTGGCACACAAAATTTCAATTTTGCATATTTAAATTATGATAATGACAATATATTTATTAATGACTACAAAAATTACCAGAAATCTTTTAAATAAGATTCTTAAAAATCTCTTTCATATATTGATATTTCATATATATTTTAATTGAAATTTATAATCATAAAATATCTATAATTATATACTAAATTGGCAACTTAACTATAATTTGTAATCTGTTATGACAGATTTATATTTACTAGCTTGGTCTGTTTTTTTTTTAATGTTAAAAACATTTAATATTACTGCATTCGTTACACATTAGTCTCATTATTTACTAATTACAATAATTATATAGAATCATAATTTTATTTTAGATTCATTTATATAAGATGTTATTTCATTAATAAAACTTTGTCATTATCATTAAACTCCGATCACAGTATCCATCATAGTCGTTGTTTTTGATTGTTCGGTGAGTGAATCGAAATTTTTTGAGAATTTGATTTCCTACCATAAATTATTTATTTTCATATTAGATTTCTATAGAATCAGATAACGATACAAGCTCTTTCTTTGACACTAAATCATTTTCTCAGATTAGTTTCTGTTCAAACTGTCACATAGCTTTTCATTTATCCAATATTCTCTGTTTTTTCAATGGTGTATATAACCCGGGAAAATAATTTATAGTCAAATAAGTGGTCGAATAACAAAACTACAGCTTGTTTTCTTTATTATATTATATATATTTTAATTACGGTCTGGCTAGATCTACGCTTATTTAAGAGGTATTTCACATTCTTCTAAAAGTTTCTTGTAACCTTGGAGCTTTCTTCAGAACTACAAAATCTATTGCAGTTTTTAATCGAATTATTTTACCACATAGACTCGACTCGACATTAAAAGTCCATCTGAACGAGAGCATTTGAGCGTATTCGGTTTGATTACGAGCGTTGTTCTCCTTTCTAGCGCCGTTAGACCCTTTTACAATTCTGGTTGCTTATAACGGGCGCAATTGAGGTTCGTAGTATTTGTAGTACGGTGGCGCTTATCCTTAAATTAATCAATAGCGAACAAGGGACGACGGGAATTTGGAAATATTCCAAGAACGGAATAAAAATATATTCGAATTTTGGAAGAAACAAGAATTTCCAAGTTACGCGAGTGTCAGACAGATTATTTTCGTTCGACGTGTTTTCCTCTTTTAATTAACTTGTAAGTTATATTTTTTGAAAGGTGAAATGATATCGGCAGCGAACCGTTTAAGAATATTCCTCTTAAGATTAGCGACGATTAAAATTTTTGTCCTGTTGTTCGCCTTTTATATCTAGTTTTTTAAATTCATAAAAAGAATTCTGGTGTATTTTAAATTATTTTTCTGTCATCGTTCAATTGCATAGTCGATTCGTACACGGCTTAACGCGCACCGATATTCGATCGTCCGCTCATTTGATGAAATACTTTTTTGATCATTGTAAAAATTAATTAATCTATGTTGAACTTCTCGACATAATTTTATTCGAATTCACTGTTTTGAATGTGACTAGATAATAGAATATTTGTGGTTTTATTAATTTTGTACGAATACTAAAACCCGTCCTTATGTGCCGATGTAAGTTTTATCAGCAGACACCAGACATTTTTAATTCCGACGAAAACAGTTATTGGGTTTTGTTCATCTGGCGTAACTAATTATTAGTTAAGTCAGACGAGTGCTAGCCATTAAACATTATTTCTCTTTTAATTATTGTCTTCGGGTCAGAGTATATTGAACCGACAAACGAGCGAGAAATATTATAAGACGTCATTCCCGGGAAAACACGACTTAAGGAATATCTCGTCGATCAGTGAAAGAAACGATAAGATTGAGAGAGAAAACGTCTCGTTCGGTCGCTGTAGAACTGGGAACGAATGAAGAGAAAATGTCTTCTTCATGTGTGGAAAATCATAAATATAATGTCAAGACATCGGAAAAAATGTTTCTACCGATTTTTCACATCCTTACTTTATCTTTCAAATTCTATCGTCCGATTTATATAATTCTTTTAGATAAAGAGAGTCACGCTCTTCTGTCCGTCCCTAGTCGAAATGACGAAACAAAAGAATGAGAAATGTAAGGCTGGCTACATTTGTTTGCTACATTTCTTGTTTTTCGCTTTAGCAGATCTATTATAATTTATATATCAGTCAAAAGAGTTTCGTCTTGGTAAATTTATTTATTTATTGTATTTTGTTACGTTAAAAATAATTTCTCTTGATTGATATTTTTTCCAATAATTTGGTGTTATTGGATTGCATTTTGAAAAAATTGTAGACCTATAAATTCCTAATGTCGTACGTCTGTTGTCTGCCCTTCCTTAATCTCGAGAACGGAGTTAGATAGATGAAAGCGGAGACCAGATATGGAAAAATTAGGGACAGGAGACCCCGATTAACTATATACGACTTTTTGGCCTACCTAGGCCCTTGTGCCACAAAACCTCAAATCCAACCGACTTACTATATACGAACTTCTGATGCAAACCGGAAACCAACGCTATTTCAATTCAAACATTTTCCACAAAAAGGAGTTAGATGACCACGACTCTATTGCTAGCAGGAAAAGTATTATGTACTGTACAGTGACAAGACTTTGCTAATTTGGGGTGGAGAGCATATATGTTAAATTAAAAAAAAATGTGATTAAAAATTGCAGCCCGGCATTGTGACCGTGTCACAATAAATAATTGCTCGTATTAATTGTTACAATTGTTAATCGTATTTTCAGTTCATTTCTAATATCTTTATATTTATCTGCCTACAATAAATATATTTTTACGAATTTTTACTGGTATCGGTTTAAAACGCTACTGGCAAAAGAACAGTAGTAATAGAAGAACGTTATTTCTTTTACTATCTTTGATATTACGATAGAGTAATTTCCTCCCTTAACATTTCGGTAAAGGTAGGCTACGTGGTTTATATAAATGTACGAGTATAAACGATCTTACTTTTTCGAAAGTTTACCTTGTAATTAAATATAAATAAAATTATTTAGAAATAAAAGTTAATATTGAAAGTCGCGTAATAATAATTTTTCGGGACTTCGAAAGGGTCTCAAGATATTACTGACGATTTTAAAATTCATTTTGTAGCAGCAACTAGTAGAAGAAGAGAAGCGAAAGAACAGGGAGAACGCGGAAGGCATGTCGAGTAACTCTTCCCCTTCCAACGCCAAAAAGCTTCGCTTCCGCCAGAGTTCGTATTTTAGCGACGAAGAAGAGATCGAAGATAATTAATTTTTGTCGTTTTAAAATTATGTAAATAGAAGCAAGCAAACATTCACCACCTTTGTAAATATAAACATTAAAAAGTAAATAAATAGAAGGACAGAGAAATTATCCCAGTCAGTGTTGTTACGTAACGTAATTAAAAATTATTAATACATTTTTCTGGAATTAAACAACAATAACGGTTTGGCTTTATAATAGTGATAATAACCGAGAAGCACGATAAAAATTTTAATTTAATTTTAATTGGAGATCGGCCACTAATTTAATTCCTTTACGTATAATAAATTGAAAGCGGAAAGAATAATTCTTAAACGCTGCATCGTATTCTCCGCTGTGTAAATTGCAATAGAAATAGAATTATTTCCTCTCGGCTCGTTTGTTTCTCACATTCAAATGGTGTAATTGGTTGCAAAGGAAATAGTTCGGTTCACCTCCTACCTGCAGACAAAATGACATTCGTTTCGCCGGTGCTATTTTTAAAAATCAATCCTCAGATGCGAAGACCAATTAGATTCGATCGTAATTCTTTGTGAACTTTCTTAAATGGAAAAGTAAAACTGCGTGTCGAAAGTATTGACCGATTCTATTTGAATATTTCAAAATATTCGAAATATTGCCCATCGCAAGCTGATTAAATAGACCGATAAAATTATTTCTTACTCGTGTTTTCTAATTATGATGTTACTCGGGGGGACAAATTACCAATAAGCTGTTTATTTCGTTCACATTTTTCAGAATCCAGATTCCTCATCTATTGTCGCTCTTAACATCCGGAAAGACTTTCCTATCACTTTCGTTATAAAATGTTTTCATATTCTTATTCCCTTTGCTCACCCAATCTATTCCACAGTAGTAATTTAGAACTGCGTATTTATTTACGAAAAATTGTTCGATTGTGGGCATTTTGTAGTTGCGAAATTAATAGTCGTTTGTATTTGTAACGCGCGTACATTTTACCCAGTCAATACACAGTTCTTGTCAGTATTACATAACAAAAGCGAAATAATTCTTATAATTTTATTTATATTAATCGAGATAAAACCATCTATTTGCACTGTTTTATTTCATTTTTATAAGAGAATTCGTTCTGACTGTGACACGAGGCATAATCAACATCTGAAATGTCTTTTCGCGCTTTCAAGTTACTTTTTTCTTGGTCAGACTCCAAAAATTTTGTAATTTTTACTATGGTAAGAGGGCCATTACGATTTGACTAGGTTTAAACTATTATTTTTCACTATTTTTTCAAGAAATGATTAAGCTACCTCCTAGAAAGGCTAATGGGTAACTATGAAAAAATACCTGTTTCTGAAGACTCGTGTAAAAACGATTAAATGTGAAAACTGACAAGGGGTCCTTATTGGGAACGCTGTTCTCAATATAGCCCACGTTGTAAATCATGAAAAAAATGCATTGAAGTGACAAAAGAAAAAGTCTTTTTATTCAATGATTTAGTTAGTGCTACTAGTTGAAAAACTAACTCTCAAGACCATCTTCATGTTTTGATTCTCTCACTTGCCTCGTCACGTTGCTTTGAAACAGTAGGAATCATCGAAAATAGAAGATTCTATAATTGATATTGATAATTTTAATCAAAATCAATAACAACAACAAATTATTATAATAGTTCCTAATAATAAAAATACATTTTCCTAATACAGCCCACATCCCCCTAGCCTTATTGCACACTATTTTTTATTTGAACCGACAGATACTAATAAAATGACAAAGTGAAATGAAAACACTGGTTATATATTAAAATACATTAACAAAGCTACATTATTAAGTTATTACATTAAATTCAATATTAACAAGATAATGAGATTCAGAGGCGGATCCAGGAATTTAATTTAGGGGATTCGTTTCGTGTAAATATCGATATCCAAAATTGATTTTTTTATATCAAGATAAGAAAATAAAATTATTTGTGTAAGATTTGCTAAGCTTATTTATTTTAATAAATGCACGAAATAAAATAATTATCAATATTAAAATTTGTGCTATTTTTAGCGTCAGATTGTCAGATCTGGCAACGTTGTAACTATTTTGTTTTCGTATCAGAATTGCTTTGCTCGCAAACACGTGCAATTATTTTATCAGAAAAATAAAATGTCTTTCTCAATTAATATAAGGCACGATTTAAGCTCCGAATGAGGAGGTCGGCAACACCCAATACATATAAAACGGTAACTTCTTTTTATATTTTGTTTCCGGTGTTTATATTCAGACACCGGAGCAATAACTTGTCGCCATTTGAAATCGGGTCGGGCTCCTACGATTTAAATAGGAGTTAAATTGTGTGCAAGTTGTACAGTACATCAGTAGGTCCAATAGTTGATTGGTAGACTGTGTCATCAGTGGTGAGTTTACCGGAATATCAGTCGCCCGTGTTCGCGCACCTTTAGGCGATAGGACAAACCCTACCTAGAACAGGTCACAATTATTCCAGTAGGGGATTTGCAAGTTTGGGGTGTCATCTGCTGGGGAAATTATAAGCCAGTTTACAATGTACTATGGGATTGAAACTGGTACTCGCATTATCGCGTAACATAAATGTAAATACAGCTTTGTAGATGTACTGTACTATAGAAAATTCTTTATACCTGTACTTAGATTATGCGTGCGCACAATCTGCATTCCCTGGATCCGTTCCTGAATATTGTCACTTACCTTAAGAAAATGATAAGACTTTTCAATGACGATTTGACTTCAACTGCTTGTGGTGACGCCACTACAACTCGGAAACAACCGAAATGTATAAAACACGTTCACAATCGAAATTGAGGTCTAGTATTTGGAGCCATTTGATGGCGTTTATGAAAAATGAAGATATTGGCGACAGTGCCATAATGGAGCTCCCTACCTTTTTTTATTTTCTTTTAACTCTTTCCGCCCTGTGGGCACTAAGAGGGCCTCTTTTTGCAAGCCCATTATGGGTTCGGCCAGACCCACAATGGGGCTGCCGGATGGTGAGGGACGGGGCCCGACATATCCGAACGGACCACCCCCCGAAGGATTCCTGGGGATTTTTCGACCCGTTCGGATTCGAGCCCGGGTCCCCCAGAGCGGTAGGCTGCCACCTTGACCGCTCGGCCATCCGGCCAGCTCCCTACCTTATGTTTACTGACCCAACATCTTTTAAAATCGTATTGCTTAACACAAAATACGTAAAATCATAATTCGTCCTTCACAGGAACAACAATTCAATCTGATGAAGTCGACTTTTGGCAGTTGGGTTGAAATGCTAAAATTGTATAAAGTTTTAATTAATCAAGAAATTTCTAGTTATAACGTCGTCAGGGAAACTTTATACAATTCGTCTGTGCACAAAGAACGGACAGATTAAATAAAGAAATGATACATTTTATCTCTGACGTAAGCAAAACATCGACTTTAGAATTCCACGCAAGTCGTAACATTAACTAAGTTAAAGAAAGACAGAACTTGATCCGGTAGACTACCAGTTGGAGAACGTTAACTTTAAGAACTTAGCAACTTTGTCAGCATAAAATCGCTAGTGTGCTGATTATCAAACCAATCGGCGCGTTCACACCAATAATGTGCAATGTACAAACCTTGAGTGCTTCTATTTTACAAGGGACTAACTAATGGTCTCAAAAAGTTGTTCAAAATGACTCACGCTTGCGTATAGAAATGACGCGAGCTTTTCTGACGTCTCGATCGGGTGTTCTGGTAAAGACCATGCGAGAAGACCGTGTGGTGTCTACATGACAGGCAAAATGGCGGATTACGTCAATTATATGAATTTTATTCTATCGAATAAGAAATATCAATTAAATTTATTTTTAAAATGTACAGAGTTACTACAAATAAATCACCGGGTTTTAAAGTCATGTATCCAAAGTATCGAGTTTGATAGTCCACGCCAGACACAAAACGAAAGAGACTCCAAATCTGTGTGATTTCCTTGTGACATACCAAGTGGCAGCACGACGTTCATTGCCAAAATTGCGAGTATGCCACAAAGTATTTCCGATGATTTTGTCTTCCAACAGGGTGGTGCTCCACTTCATTAGCATATTCAGGTGCATCAATACCTAAACGCAGAACTCTCACACTCTGGACTGGGCGTTGTGTAACGATGACAACGCTGTACAGATGCTTCCAGATCTCCGGACCTCACACTGTGTGAGATTTTCTGTCAGAGTATTAGCAGAGTATTAAAGGACGCGGTTTATGTGCCGCCATTACCACATCTTTGGCAGAGCTCTGGAATCTCATTACCGTTGCATTTATGACCATCCAGTTACAATGCTTGCGGCGAATTGAACTACCGCTTAGACACGTAATCTCTACCGCTTAAAACTGACTGTAATCTCTTTGGTTAGAAAGTGCACCTTGGATAGGGAGAAAAAATATGTTAAATATCTTTGTTCCTAAAAATTTAAATTCTATTAGTCTGCTGGATAAATGAGATATGCTACACGGATCGGGGCTGTTCAGTTCATTCGGTAATAACGTTATCCTGGTAGTCAATACGAACTAATTTTTGGTTTAATTCCCATTTGCTAAAGGCTGGATAGTAGCAATAGCAGGCAGGAAAGTCGACATATAAACGGAATGTTTTCGTTGTTGTTTTCTGTTTCTGTAAATGGAAACTTCAGGCTCACAATGAGTGCGACCGAATGGTGAAAAACGGGATCCGAGATATCTAGGACGGACTTTCTGCTGAAATCTTCCTGGGGTTTCTCGACCCGCCCAAATTCGTTGCCGAAGGACAGAGCAGGTAGGCTGACGCCTTAACGGTTCTATGTTCAGTGGTTTTTATCCAGTCCGCTACTGGTAGACATATTGCAGTAGGCTACTGCAATCGATCCACCGAAACAGATTTTGTTCATCCACTTTGAATCTTAACTCCTGTGCTTTTTGTCGAAAATTTCTGAAATTTTCCAAGGAAATTTGTGTATTGGGGGATTGATGCTATTAAATTTTTGTGGTTAAAGGTCAAGAGATCATGTATCATATCTTGAGTGGGATCGGACTTATTGAAGATTTTATTTGTTATTAGCTTTTAAAACTTTTATAAAACTCTTCTCTACCCTCAAAATTATGCTATTTGTTATTTTATAATAATTAATGATATAAAAAGTTTTTTCTAATAAACTATAATAACAGATGGCGCC